GTTGGGCGGGCCAATGGCCGATGTGTAGCCAAGGGAACAAAGAATAATACTATGTAATATGTATCATGAAATATGCCTAGCATTACTCGGGAGCAAACGAACACAGGCAGGTAGCTGTCTGGTTGTCTTTAATATGATTAGGTAAGTATGTGGTTCAGCTTCGTCAGTCTTGGAGGTGTCACTCTCAGGTTTCCAAGGTCTGTTTCAATCTCTATTTGTTCAGATTGATCATGCAGATATGTATACTTTACTTGTTTTGTCCTAAATTCAGATATTTTGTAAATGGGTCTTTGAATTTTTTTCATTGTAAAACCCTACAGCGGGACAAAAGGATGATAGTGTGCTCTTCTTAATTATAGTTTCTCCCAATTAGGGTTTATGAACATTTGGATGCAGCCTTTTTATATGGCCATGTTTCTATATTTATTTGTTTTCCCCTGTTTCACATACAGCAATTCTTGCAATTGATGGGTTTTCTTGGTTGGATCATTGAATCTTTATTGGAATGTATATTGCATAGTTCATCCCAAATCAAGAAGTTTATTTAGTGGGCTTTTAATACTGTGTTTGATCACGAATTTAGTAGTGATTTGCGGATGGGAAAGAAAAGGGGAGGGAAATGTGAAATAAAATTGAGATGATCTCCCCTCCATACTTCATATCTCCGTACTCATCTATATCCCTTTTGTGGGCTCAAATTCATACCCATGTGTGTTCTGAACCGTCTACCTTGTAGGTCCTGCAAAGGACATCATGCAAAAAATTAATTTAAACACAAGAACAAATCACGTTTTGTTTTATAAAATGAATGACAAATATGATTGTAAACTTAAACCATCCATTTTATAAAATAAAAAGCGATTGTTCCCGTATTTATAGTTGTCTGATAAAGCTGATTTTTTGCATAGATAGTCTTTTTTGCGAGGCCTATGAAGTAGACTGTTTAGATCATCCTTGTCTGCTCGGTTAGAGCCTGCAAGAAGGGTATGGATGGGTATGGGGAGATGAAGTATGAAATTATCCCAATAAAATTAGTTTATATTTCATTCATAATTTTCTCTCCATTTACTTTCCCTAAACAAATCACTATCTAAATTCATGATTCAAATACAGCCTAAAGATTTGTGGATAATGTACGCACCCAAAAGAATATGCAGAAAATAAAGTGTATGATGTAGATTCAAACTTGGAGTGGTGTGGGTCACACCGAGAGTAAATCTTGTTAGCACATTTCACTTTTGGGGTAGTTATTCTAGGTGAGTAGTACTACTAAAATGTTTGTTGTGATTCTTCTTTACTTATCAATGTTGTGCTGCAATTATTTGAGAACTGGATTGATCATGGAAAAAGAGAATGGAGCTAACCAATGTAATCCTGAATGTGATGCTAAATTATTGTGTTGTGTCCTCTATGTTGTTTTGGGAGAGAAGTTGCAGAATGTGTACATTCATTGAAACACCTTTATAAGGGAGAATAGCTTTGAAGCTAATTAAAATTTCTTAATTACATTCGGTGAGAAGGTGATAAATTTGAAGCTGCACATTTATTGTTACTGAGAAGGTATGCACCTTTATGGTTACTGAGATGTCATTGAAACTACAGACCACGTAGCTAGTGGAATTTTGTGTCATATTGGCAAAGAGGCCAAAGTTTGGGGCTTCTTATCAGTCAAAAAGAAAATTACTGGAGTTTGTAATCAATACAAAAAGCTAATGTAAGTAAGAGTACAAAATGTGTTCAAGAAGAAGAATTGAAGTATCCAAATATAATGAATATGAAAAAAGACGCAAATTGGTATATAATATATGGTCTAAGAGATATATTATGTCTTATAACTATCTTGATATACACAATTCACCTCTCATTTACTAACTCTCTTTACATTTACGATCCCCTAAAATGTCTTTAGCATGTTGTGATTACCAGAATGTACAGTTGGCAACTTGTTTGAATGCTTCAAAGAAAATGACCCACGAGGAAAATAATTCCACGGAAATAAATTCCTTGAAAGAAGGGCTTAATGACTAATCTAATAAAAAATCAACTTGTGCATGCATGGCCCATTGAATTGCAGACAAGGCCTTAAATCTTTTATCTTCTTGAAAAAGACTCATATCTTGAAAGCCTACCAAGACTAGTTTATTCCTCTGACTAAATGTTGATATTTAAAATTAGTTAATGTTGTTGGCTCCAAAATTAAACCAATAAGTCCACCTGGCTCTTTGTGTCCTTTTATTTTTTTCTATATGGTAAAAAATAGGTCATGGTGTATAGGTCAGCTTTCATAGTGTTTTTGGGATATATCAGATATATTTAGTTGGAAATTTGAGGATGAGTGACGAGCTATTGTATTGTAGCCATGTGCATGTTGAATTTGTATGATGAGAGTATATGGGTATCATGGAAAAAACTCTCTTGAAGAGTTCTAATAATGAACAACAGAATTGAATGAAAGAAGAGTGGTTTCGAAGTGGTTCATGTTCTTTCTTGAATAATGGGATCAAGAATTCAAGTATGTTTGCTGGTTATTTCCGTCCAAATTTTACTAGTAGCAGCGCAGATGAATAATCTGGACTGTAAGTTCAATTCTTGTGTCCAAGTTTTTAGTTTATTGATGTCACTACACTAGTTATATATGTTCTTAGTTTTTTTGTGTCTTGATTAATACAAACAAGAATACAGACCTGCTTGTTAGATAATGCATCCTCCAGAAACACATAAATAATTCCTGCACTGAATTAATGATGGCATATGCTAGACCTCTTTCTAGTTTCTTTCTCTTCACACCATACCTTATTTACACTTGAGTTGATTGCTGATAAAAGGTGAAGAAGGACTAGAACTTTGTACATCCTAGGAAAAATTTCCACAATACAAAGTTGTAGATCAAATCTCTAGAATACATAGTTGCATATCTGCTACGCGTTAACTGCTTTCCAAAGTGATTTTTATTTTTATTTTTATTTATCAACTACCATCTTTATCTAGTTTAGCAACAAGTTCTCAGTCGCATACTGTTTTGTGGTCACTCAGAAGCAAGATTTGAAGTATCAAATGGTCTTGATTATTCAGAAATAGCCAAGATAGTACCTTGAACTAGAAAGTACTTAGTCAAACAAAATATGAGAAGACAAGTACTTTTAGCTCATCCTTTTGTTTTTGGGTTACTGGCCACTGTTGGGTTCTCATGTTCCATGCATTGATTTCCTTAATCCTCATAAAAATTTCAGTTTATGTCCGATGCAGTTGCTGCTCTGAACGCTCTCAAAGTAATCTGGAAGAACACACCACTCAATTGGGTTGCGTCAGATCCATGTGGCAACAGTTGGGATGGAATTCATTGCACCAATTCACGTGTGACATCTATGTAAGTCCCTATTGTGTTTTACGTTTAATGCTTACGGAGAGTTGCTTATTCTACTTTTTGAGAATTAAGAGGTTAACTGTAAGTTTTACTTCCAGAACATTAGCCAGTGTGGGATTGACTGGTCAGCTGTCCGGAGACATTCAATGGCTGTCTGAATTACAGACTTTGTAGGTCTTCTATTTTCATTATCCCTATTCTCTCGTAAATAGATCCAATTCCAATTAACTTACGGAGAATCATTCAATTAGTGTTATTCATTTGGGACTGCTGTGCTTCCTTGGTTATTCAAATTTCACAAGCCTTCATTCTTGAAGGAGTTTTGAGCTTAAATATCCTTGGCTGTGTGAGACGCTAATGGGAAATTGCCCCTTGCTCTTTATCATTGAACAGTGCTCCTTGTAGGCTCTATCTAATACATACTGAGCAGTGGACTACTATGGTCGTTTTTTAACTCTTTTGTTTCCTATTTTCTGCTTTTGTTTTCATTTTTTTTTGGAAACTCAAAACAAAAACTTGTTTGGTATATGGTTTTTGTTTTCAAAAAAATGGAACTGATTCCAAAATGTTTGGAAACAGAAAAACGGACTTTTCACTTATTTTCAAAACAAGTTTTCATTTTCTTTTTTCTCTCCCACCACTTCGGGCCACCACCTACCTAGCAGCTTGCTGCCAGAGAGCTCCAGCAACCTTTTGGTGACTCGACAGTGACAGCACTTCAGGCCCCCCACCCACCGCTAGCCGGCTTGCAGCCAGAGAGCTCCAGCAACCTTTCGGTGACTCTACAGTGACCACCCAATCACCACCGTGACCTCCAGCAGCCTTTCGGTGGCCCTCTAGCCACCCTGACACCTTTGGCCACATTCCAGCCTTCAAGCCCGGCCACCCCCCCACCACCAGTCACCACATCCATCCACCCTCCACCATGGGCCACTACCTCCAGCAACTCACCAAACAGTTTCTCTATTTTGTTTTTATTTGTTTTCAAAACATTTTTGTATACCAAACAAGTTTTTAGTTTTTGTTTGTTACCCAAAAAAAAAAAAAAAAAAAAAAAAAAAAGAAAAAATTTGCAAACAAAAGAAAATTATATGATCAAACCGCATTTGTCTTAGAATTAATGAATGCTTTATTCTAAAAATTACCTATTATTATTTTGAAGAGAAATATGATCTAATTATATAATTATCGATATCCGATTAATTTAATTTTTTTACATGGACGATCTAATCGACAAACAGATAAACAATTTGAATTATCAAGGTGAGGGAGTATTGTTGGGCCTCTGTGGGCCCACCACAGAGTCCACATCGATGATCTAAACCGTTAATGTTTAAGACTCATTGAGTACTTTATCCCTGAAAACAATTACGGTGATTGGGTATCAATAATCACTTGATCAGATTACATTTGTATTAATTTGTATACCAAACAAGTTTTTAGTTTTTGTTTGTTACCCAAAAAAAAAAAAAAAGAAAAAATTTTCAAACAGAAAACAGGAAAATGACAACGTTAACAAATGACCCCCAATATTTCATTTTCATTCTTTAGGAGCTTCTTGCCCACAATGAAATCCATCTTCAGGTCTTCGCAAATGTTTGTTAGGACCTAAATTATTTTGTATTACAAGAAGAATATCACAACATAATATATGTAGGATATGGCACCACGGATAATAACATGGTAATTATTTGTCTTCTTGCTTTGTTGTAATGCCTACTCTCTCTCTCTCTCTCTCTTGCACGTGCGCACACACACAAATGCTTCATGACACTCACTAGATTGGTGTCACGGTTCATATTTCACTTGAATGCCTGATTGATGTGGTATAAAATGCTACCTAGACAGTGTTCTCTACTTTATTAATAATAACTGTTTGGAATTGTCTTTGTTTATTCTCCTCTTTACTTCTACTTCTACATAAGAATTGTTAAAAGTAACTTCTGACTATCAGCTTGTGCATATAGGGATCTATCAGACAACAAAGGTTTGACAGGATCTCTTCCTCGATCAATTGGAAATTTGACAAAGTTATCAAACCTGTAAGAAATTTTTTGATTATTGTTATACTATGTTGAATCTGTTGATTACTAAGGTCAGTACCCCGTTACAAAACAATTACTTCTACTTGCATCTCAGAATGCTGGTTAGTTGCGGTTTCAGTGGTCCAATTCCAGAGACAATAGGATCTCTGCAGCAGCTGAGAGTTTTGTAAGAATTTGGACTTTGTTATTTTTGTTTACTATGAGAATCAATATATGCGAAAGCTTAATATGGAAGTATCAGCCATATTAGGTTCACATTCCTTGTGACATGATTCCATTCTCTGGCATAATGATGAAATGACAGAAATCTAAATTAACTTGGTATAAGTTCAAGTTATCAGATAAATTATTTAGTCCATGGTTGTTAGAATTTTACAATTCACTATTTGATTCGTGTAGTTGATCCTTAAATTGAGTGAATTTTACGATTCAGTTGTGATTCACTGCTATTCAAGCGATTCAGTTTTGCTTGCATAATGCATGAAACGGCATCATTTTCACAAAATAATAAAAGAGATCAACTAATTATATTGATATATGTGATTTTAAATGTATATACACATATCCTATTTAGTTATATTGATATTTATTTCATTTTAAACACTATATGTGTTTTTTTATATGTATATATACGTATCTAAAATTATATATTATGCCAAATAAAGCGAATCATACAATTCACGATTCGATTCATGATTTAACAACAATGCTGTTAAGTGATCGACATGATCAGTAAAATGAGATGGACATTAACTACAACCTTTCACATACTTTTGACACAATGATTGACTGCTCTTTCCATAATTTGATCTTAAATATTTCCTTTACAAAATTTTGTTGAATTTAGGAAATAAGGATATTATATTTATAGTAGTTTGTATAAAATCCGTGATTGTATAAATCACAGATTTAGTGCCTTAATTTTTTTGTTTCCTTGTTTGTAATATTAATTCATTACATATACATGGCTCTACCCCATTCAAAGGTAAGCCAATACCATTCTTTTCATTCTTTTTGGTATCAGAGCCAAAGAACAGAAACCCTAGCCTTTCCCTCACCTCTGTCGGCACTGCCCAGCACCACCTAGCACCATCGACAACCTCCTTTCCTCTCCCCAAGCCTCTGACAGCCTACTCACCTCTTCTAGACCACCCGACAGCCCCTCCCCACCACTGTTTTCCCCTTGGCAAGTCTCCATCACCCCTACCAAGGCTTTAGTAGCTCTCAACCTGGTCTTTCCCTGGTCCTGAGTGCTTTGGCAACCCTTCTAGGGTGATCCGGGTTCTCCTTTTCCTGTCTCGGTTTGTTGTGAAGCACCTTCTTCTGTTCTCTTGATTCATTGGGCTACCGGGTTGTTCGGTAACATTTTTTTGGATAAGCTGTTGAGTTTTCCAGCTTCTTGAGTTTTTATTCGGATTGTGTTGCTGTGTGTTGTGCAGCCTTTATCATTCCACCATGACTAAGCCACCTACTGTCATCTTTTTTGAGGTACCCACAAAATCCATTCTAGTTAGTTATGATTTTTCTCTTTCTCATCACACTCTTGTTCATCATATTACAAGTGTGGTGTTGAATAGAAAAAAGTTTACTGCATGAAGCCGTTCTCTTAAACGCTATTTAGGGGGAAAAGAGAAGGCTTATTGGCTTTTATCTATTATTACCCAACCAGATGAGACAAACAAACCCTACATATGGCCACGGAGATATTGATAATTGTTCTATCTTGGGATGGATGTTCAACTCCATGAAGGATATGATTTATCACATGCAAGGTTCCAAAATGCAGTGTTACGTAATGGTTGCGGCCGTTACGTAACGGTTGTGGCGGTAGGCACCACGCGTTACCCCCGATTTTGCTGTGTGATTGAGATTCACAGGTGTATCAGCGGCCGTAACGGCCCATTATGCACCGTTACATTCTTTTTTTAGTTGATTCTTTTCAATAAAAAGCAAAAGAAAAGGCTAAAAAACTATGGATGCTGTTGTACATACCTTTATTATGATTGAACAGATTTTGTCTTTCCTCTTTTCAGCCCGTAAAAAACTTTGAGGTGAGATTTCATAATATTCAGAATACATCCACAAATTTTGAGATCTTTAGATACTCTGCAACTGCAATTGATTCAAATATTTAGGTTTACAAATTTTCAACCATCTTTAAAAAGAGTGGTTCATGGGAAGATGAAGATAGAGAGAAGAGAAAATACGAATGAGTGAGAGATAGAGAGAGAGAAGAGGGAAGAGATGAACCTGTGTTGAAGATGAAGAAGGAGATGAATATTCAAGGCTGCCTCTGTGTTGAAGACGAAGAACATTTGTGAAACCTGTAAGTGACTCTGTGTGGAAGACGAAGAACATTTGATCTGTTGTCTTTTTTTTTTTTTAATTATTTTTTTATTTTGTTTGTTTGGCTGCCTCTCCGGCTATAGCTTCAGAACCCTTGGGAACATATAAAATCAATTGTTTTTCTTGGGTGGTCTCCAACTGGCATTTTGATTTTGTTTTTGTTTTTGTTTTTGTATTTTTTTTTTTTTTGGTGGTGGCGGCGGTGGTTTATTCCTTGCTCTACTATGAGACTGCATGTATGTCTCTTCGTCAAGGTTGCTACACCAAACAAGTATAATTTGACTTGTTATATCAACAAGATGGACTTTTGTTGCTACTTTGGGAATAAATCATAGAATAATTGCCTCATAACTGGAGTTGTCCTCAGCAGCATGAAGATTAAGCCATTTGTTGGATTTTGTTGTGTATGGGCAAGATGATTACCGTATTGAATGGATTTTCATTCATGTTCTTGTTTGAGCTTGGTTGCATCTGTGTGCACTTCATGCGTGGATGTTTTGTCTCATTTGATTATTCTCCATAGCATTTAACGGACCGATAATATTCCCAGTTATCACTTTCTAATTTTACTATAGTGCAAATGTGTTATTTTCATATTAGGAGTTCTATAGGCTTTGGAGCAGAGATTTGGTAATGCACTGAAGAAAATAATAAGATAGAGAGAGATGGGCTCTTATGTCCTAAATGAAAATAGAGATGGACTAACCTAAAAAAGATAAAAGGACAATAGGAGATTTAGTAGTTCCTTTTTGCTTTTTCTTCTTTCATTACTTATTTTGATTACCTTTATAAATAGATGCCTTTTATATCTTTGGAAAGAAATTTTCAGTGATTCCAAATTTATACTTTATGCAGCCAGCGGTTTATTGGAGCAATAAATGGTGTTCTCGTATTTGGAATCATCACTTCGTTAAGGCCCAATTTTATTTTAAAAATATCTTTTAAAAAAAAAAATCAATACCTCAAAAAAAAATTCTTATAATTTATTTTTTAATTTTTATCTGATTACATTAGCATGTAAACTCCAAATGTATAAATAGTGGTTGCATTTTATAATTCTAAAAAAAATATATATGATTTTGTTCGGTAACCGCATATTGTGAAGTTTTTTGCATATCGGTAAACCCCAATATGATTCTAAAAAATATGATTTTGTCTGGTAAACCCCAATAAATATGATTCTAAAAAAAAAATATGCGTATCGGTAAGTTTTTTGCAAATTGTGTGAAAAATAAAAAAAATTCACAGTTCCGGTAACCGCAACCGTTACGCTGCGGCCTTTATACCCCGCAACCGCAACCACTCCACCCCCACTGCCACCGTTACCGTTATGGTGACCGCAACCGCTTTTCAGAATCTTGATCACATGTTTATGGCACGCCTTGTCACAGATGTATGCTCATGCTCATAATGATGTTCACATCTTTGAGCTTTATCAGGATATTGCTCATGCCTCTTAGTCTACTTTGGCTCTCTCTGTAGCGGAGTATTTCGGATATCTTCAGGCTAGTTGGGAAGAATTGGCTTAGTTTGAGCTCTTACCTGAGTTATTGACGGGCACGGCCTCTCTTGTGTCCAAGCAACTTGCCTGACAGCACACTTACCAGTTTCTGATGGGTTTAAATTCTGAATTTGAATATCTTTGAATTCAAATTTTAAACACATCACCCATGTCATCTTTCTATGAGGCCTTTGCCACCATTGACAATGATGGGTGTCGTTGGCAATTGGTTCAGCCTAGCCATCCTCTGATAGCTCCAATTTTATTTGATCAGATGGCTCTTGCTGCAAATTCTAGTTCTGAGGGGTCTAGTGGTTTAGTTATTTGTCATCATTGTGGTACTCTTAGCAATGTTAAGGTTCGTTGTTTCAAACTTTGTCCTGAGTTGAGGCAACGATTCTCTCGCACCCGAGGCACTGGCGCTCCTCGCACTGCTGCTGTAGTGGAGACCACTCCTATTCCTGCCTCTCCCAGTGTCCCTCATTTACAGTAGCTGTAGACTCAAATTGGTCAACTCCAGGAGCAGCTTGGATCTCTCACTGCTCGTTCTCCTGGCCCATAATCTTCCTCTGCTACCACCCTTGCCACAGATACTTCTATTGCTTTCTATGTTCGGTTTACTAGTCCCTCATGGGTTCTAGAATTTGGGACTAATGATCATATGATAGGTGAGTTTTCCTTTCTTTCCTCTCTTTCCTCTCCAGTCCCTACTACTTCCACCCAATGTGTTTGTTTTGTTGATGGTTCTTCATCCTCTATACGTCATAAGGGTATTATGTTTTTATCTTCTGATATTACTCTGTTTTCTGTTTTACATGTTCCTAATTTTTCTTATGATCTTTTATCTGTTAGTCGGCTTGCCAAAACTTTTAATTGTGCTATCATATTCTTACCCTCTTCTTGTCTTTTACAAGACCTGAGTTCGAAGAGGATTTTTGGCAGGGGTTATGAGCGTGATGGGTTTTACTACTTTGGGGATCCACCAGACCAACCTTCTTTATCTACTTGAGCTAGTCTTCAGGCGTCTGTTTTGCCTACTTCCATATCTTGTGTTTTTTCAGTTCAAACTTTAGAATTATGATACGCCTATATGGATCATGTCAATTTTCAATATTTATGTCAACTTTTTCCCTTATTAAATAAAACTTGCAGAGATTTTAAGTTTTATTGTGTAGTTTGTGAGTTATCTAAACATAACCGTACTAGTTATATAACTCACATGACACGTGCCCCTAGTGCTTTTGATTTTATACATTTTGATGTTTGGGGCCCTTCTCCTATCGATGCTATTTCTGGTCATAGATATTATGTGACTTTTATTGATGATCACACTAAGTGCACTTGGGTTTATCTGCTTCGCCGTAAATCTGATGTGTTCCCCATTTTTGTTCAATTTTTGCAAATAGTTAAAGACTTAATTTCATACAGTTGTTAGGAACATTCATTCTGATAATTGTGGAGAATAAATTTAAAATGAATTTTGTTCCCATTTTTATCAGACAAGTATTCTTCAACAACTTACGTGCCCTCGCACCCCTAAACAAAATGGTGTTGTTGAACGTAAAAATCGTTGTATTATGTCTTTTGTGTGGTGTCTTCTTCGCGGTATGGGTGTTCCCAAATCGTATTGGCATATGGCTGTCCTTACTGCTGTCTATCTGATTAATCAGACACCTAGTCGTGTGTTGCATGGTCTTACTCCGTTTCATGTCCTTATGCCCAACACCACTTTGTTTCCTCTCCTACCACATGTCTTTGGGTGTACTTGTTTTGTGCAAGATCGGAGTCTCACTCGTACTAAGTTAGATGAAAAATCTATTCGTTGTGTCTTCTTAGGGTATTCTTCCATGTCCAAAGGGTATAGGTGTTTTAATCCTGTGTCTGGTTAGTTCCGCCACACTTTGGATGTTACTTTTTGTAAGGATCTCCTATCTTTTGGTACTAATCCTCCTTTATAGGCTTCCATTTCAGTTGCTTTCAGTGTTCGCTTGATTCCTATTTTGGATGAGATTCTTTCCCCTCCTCATTCCCTACCTTCGCCCCCATCCTCCCCCCCTATTGCAAGTATACTCACGTCGCCCTCACTCTTAGCTACCCTTTGCCCCCTCTCTGATCTTTGGGTCAGGTAACTCTTCTCCTTTAAATACGACCCCTCCATCTCCTCATCGTAACCCACCTTGGGATCAACATTCTCCAGATTGTTGGGGTTATTTGACTGAGTTTTAGATTCCTATTGCTCTTTTCTTAGCAAGCTTGAGTTAGAGTCTATTCCTCGTTTTGTGTTAGAGGTCCTTCAGAATCCCAAATGAGTTGTGGCTATGCAAGCTGAGATGGCAACCTTAGAACATAATCACACTTGGAATCTTGTACCTTTACCCCCTGGGGAGAGCACTATTGGCTGCAAATGCATGTTTACCATTAAGTATCTGGTTGATGGCCCTGTTGATCCTTACAAAGCCCGTTTGGTGGCAAAAGGATTCACACAGCTTCCTGGTAAGGATTTTAGGGCTACTTTTGTGCCTGTCGCCAAGCTTACTTCTGTCCGTCTTCTTATCTCTCTTGCAGCATCACACTCTTGGCCTCTACATCAGCTTGATGTCAAGAATGTGTTTCTTCATAGGGATCTTCTTGAGACGATTTACATGGCTCTTTCTCCCGTATTCCGGGCTGAGGGGGAGTATTTGGGAAAAGTTTGTCAGTTACGCAAGTCTTTGTATGGCCTGAAATAGTCTCCACGAGTATGGTTTGGTTGCTTTAGTTTTGTTATCATCTCCATGGGATTTGTTCAGTGCTACTCAGATCATACTTGTTTCATCCGTCATAATTTTGCAGGTCAGTGTGTAGTCTTGTTGGTTTATATGGATGATATTATTCTCATAGGCGATGATTATGGCATTGGTCAAGTAAAGAAGGATTTAGGCTTTGATATCAAGGATCTGGGGTGTCTCAAATATTTTCTGGGGGTTGACGTGGCTCGTTCACGGTAGGAGATTTCCTTGTCCCAAAGGAAGTACACTTTTGATCTATTTCAGGATACTAGAATGTTAAGGTGTAAACCTAATATCAAGCCCACATCAGAGTCTAGCGAGTTGTTGCTATTTCAGGATACTGGTATGTTAAGGTGTAAACCTAATATCAAGCTCACATCAGAGTTTGGCGAGTTGTTGGAGAACCCGAGCATGTATCAGCGTTTTGTTGGCCATCTCATTTATTTGACCAACACTAGACTGGACTTGACATTTGTGGTTAGTATTGTGAGTCAGTTTATGCATGCACCTTGTACAGAACATCTTGATGTTGTTCATCACATTTTGATGTATTTGAAGACTTCTGCAAGTTTGCGATTATTCTTTATAGCTGGTTCTTAATCCAAGCTCTCTTGTTTCACTGATGCTGATTATGCAGGATCTAGAACAGATAGGCGTTCCACTTCTGGCTTTTATACTTTCTATGGTGATCATCTTATATCATAGAAAAGTAAGAAGCAAGCAGTTGTTTCTAGATACTCTGCAGAGTCTGAGTATCGGGCTATGACACAGGGAACATGTGAAATTCTATGGCTTCACTCCATTTTGGCAGAGTTGGGATTTGAGACTACTTCTTCCTCTTTGCTTTGTGACAACAAATCCACGATTATGTTATCTTCTGATTGGGTACTCCATGAGCATAGCAAGCACATCGAGGTTGATATACATTTTATTCGAGAAAAGGTTCAGACTAGTATTGTGAGTCCATCCTTTGTCTCTTCATCTGAGCAATTAGCGGATATGTTCACGAAGTCTGTGGGTCCAACATTGCTCTAGTCATCCATTGCTAAGCTATGTTTGTTGAATGTCTTCACGCTAGCTTTAGGGGGAGTGTTGAATTTAGGAAATAAGGATATTATATTTATAGTAGTTTGTATAAAATCCATGATTGTATAAATCACGGATTTAGTGCCTTAATTATTTTGTTTCCTAGTTTGTAATATTAATTCATTATATATACATGGCTATACCTCATTCAAAGATAAGCCAATACTATTCTTTTCATTCTTTTAATTTTTCATTGATAATTTGATAGTAACGCAAAATGTTATATTACTTTCCACAAATTATTTCGGTCATATGTATTATTTGGGCTTCCTATAAAATCCTAATAGTTGCACTGTAAGAAATCAATGTATAAAGAGAAATAGAGAATTGTATATATGATTGTATTATTAATTCATATTGATATATTACAATGATTCCTATATATAGAAGAGAGGATGTGGGAAGAGAATAGGTGAGTGTGTAGTAGGTATGGAGTAGGTGAGGAGTAGGTGGAGAGTAGGTGAAGTAGGTGAGTGTGTAGTAGGTGGTAGTGGTAGGTGTGTAGTAGGTGAATTTTAACATGCACCTTTCAAGAACAAATGCTCCCACCCCCCGACTTCTCTAGGTGAACCTACTTACTCCTTCATGCTTTTAAAAGATGAGAAAAATTTGAGCCTGGAACCATTTTTTGTTCCTTTAAATCTTGCATCAGAAACTCCAATCTTTTAATTCATATCATCATGTTTTGATTCCAGAAATTTTCTGCTGAACTGTGCATGTACTGAATGTTCTAGTTTGGCTTACCTTTTATTGTGCAGTTTGCGCCTTGGCCTATAGTTCAATTGTTTCATTCTGTATTCTACAGGTCTCTGTCTTCCAACAGCTTCAGTGGACCAATTCCACCTTCAATTGGTAATCTCTTTAATCTGTATTGGCTGGATCTGACTGGCAATAAGCTTTCTGGAACGATCCCTGTCTCTAATGGGAACACACCTGGTCTGGATAAGCTGGTTAAAGCAAAGCACTTGTATGCCTAATCTCTCTCTCTCTCTCTCTCTCTCTCTCTCTCTCTCTGTATTTAAGCTAACTAAAAATCTATTTGTTGTTTATTTCCATACACTAATGACCTTAGATTCTTTGTACTATTCAGTCATTGTGGACGCAATCAGCTCTCTGGTGAAATCCCACCTCAGCTTTTCAATTCAAATATGTCTCTGATACATGTGTGAGTTCCTTTGGATCAGCTATTTATTCATGAGTCTCTGGTATGCACTTGAATGACAGAACAACAGGTTATGCATTTATGCCGTTTGCTTATCTGTATGGCAAGTATAAGCAACAAGCTTTCAGGGTGACAAAGAGAACAACATTTGTTACGAGAATAAATATTTTAAATATACATTTGAATGAATTCATATATAATGACAAGTCCCACTCAATTTTTCCTTTTGACAGTTGAGAGAAAGGGTGCTCTCTTCTTTTTTTTTTAATTTTCAATTTATTTAAAATATGATGAGGAATGTTGGACTTAATTTCTGGGCATCCTATTTCTCTCAATCTGGGCACTAATTTCAATATCATCTTGTGAATTAATTTGAGCAGGATTTTTGATAATAATACACTCAGTGGCAAGATTCCTTCAACGATAGGACAAGTGCGGACTTTGGAGATATTGTGAGTATATCACATACCCAATTAAAATCATAATAAGATGCTAGCTGTGAATAATAATACCCATTAAACTTTTTGATTTGAGTATGTAGTGGCAATGCATTTGCCTGGATAGGAACTCATTGGTGGACCTATCCCATTGAACTTCAACACCTTGTACATTTATTGAGCTGAGGCAGACAAATTTTTTTATTTTTTTTTATTTTTCATTTTAAGCTTAGTAAAAAAAAAGGCTTCTATACTCGTTTCCAGGAAGTTAGCTTATCCTGCATTAGGTTTTCAGCTTTACAGCCTTTACTATGAGAGCCTTTTGATTTTTCACTTTCAGGTTCTTGTCGAACAATCAACTCACTGGCCCTTTGCCTGATCTTACTGGCTTGATTTCTCTCAACTACATGTAAGTGCTAGCAATCTTGCTGACTTAGGAAAAAAGGCATCATGATTCTCAAGCATTTCATTAATGGATGTCTTGTTAATTCCTTCTTTTCCTGCTTCCGAAGCTGATGCTTTTTTCCCACTATCATCTCGTTTTCATAATTATGTTCAATACATGCTACTTTGACCAAAATATTTCTTGCAGGGATTTAAGCAATAATACTTTTGACAAGTCAGATTTTCCTCCATGGATCAAAACCTTACAGTCTTTGGAAACATTGTACGTCTCTCTCTCTCTCTCTCTCTCTCTCTCTCTCAACAAACATGCATGCATGCATTCACATACAAAAACAACATGGCAGAATTTCTTTGAACTATTTAAGGTTTGCTATTGGGGTCCTTTTCCATTATTTAGCTTTATTTAGGGCCTTATATTTTGTTGCATCATAATGGATTAGTTTTCATGCCTCTTCAATCATGTGTTTTGGCCTTCTCCTTGTCTTTTGAAGTCCTTCAACTTGAAATATTTCCTTCCTTACTAGTGTTTCCTTGGTCTTTGCTGCAGACAACAGAAACGTTGCAGTCAACTATTATATAATGTTCTCAATTTTGGGTGAATGAACTTGTTTCAACTTCATCCAAGCATATTGCATTTCATTTAAGAAAATTATAGAAAATGTGCTTAGGATAGCCTCCACTATATACAACAATGCATGGCTACGCTGATGACCTTATAGACCTCTCAATTTAGGCTCTGTTTGGCCACAACTAAAAAAATCACATATTTTAATAAACTATCTCTAGTAATTTTTGTTTTTAAACTTTTCAGGTCCATCTTGTTTAGGAGGATCTATAAAGTTTAAAAAAAAAATAATAATAATTTAAAAATCCAAAAAAGTTTACTAAAGATGAGATTTTTAACCAATCTTTTTTTTTGGGTTTTTTTTTTTTTTAATAAAATTTTTAAGTTCCTCTAATCTAGTAGAACATTAGTTGCTAAAAAAAACAATTACTAAATTCCACCTAGTCTTGTATGTATATGGTGAACTTTGTTATCAGAATCTTACAATTCACGATTTGATTTGCAATTTTCGCAAAATAGATACGAATCTATGGTGAATCTATTTTGGAAGTGATCTCTAGTGAATCGCACGATTCACAATCGATTCACGATTCGATTCACTTTTTACGATTCATGCAATTCTTGAAACTATCATATCCGACATATTTCGATTCTTTTTTTCTCTCTTTTTTTAATTAGAATGACATAATACAACTTGTAATAGTGTTTAGTACGAAAATAACCAATTGATGTAGGACGAGTAGGGATTACTTTCCCACAAGTAGTGAGCCCGGGTTAAGTATACTGGTAGCAGCAACAATAGACTTGTAGGATTGGATTTGGTGAGATTTTATGACTGCAAATGTATTTAAAAAATGGGAGTTCAAGGGTTTGTAAAAGGCTTGGGTTTTAGGAATGAAAACACAAGTGTTTAAGGGTAGTTGGGTGGTTGTTGTAAGTACTGTGAATAGTGACGTGAACAGTAACCTTGCTGGATAGAAGAAGAAGAAGAAAGAGAAAGAGAGAAGTGTTTCACCCTCACAAGGGATAGGCCAATCACACAAATACAATCTCAAATTTTCAAAATATCAACTTTGCCCGAATCATTGAGATTACACATTTATTTAAAGGCTAAAGGCTCTCCTAATTCTATAAGGACTATAACTCAAATTTAGAAATTAAAAATATATAGCAACTACTAATGTTTTAGACCAACTATGACTTCCAATTCTACTTCAATCATAATAGGAAACTTTAATGACTTCTAATTTTACTTCAATATCAAAATAGGAAACTTGAATTTTTGACCACTAAGATTATTTTACACATAATAAAACTCATATGTAATAACCCATTTAATAATTTAACCCAAAATAAAACGCATGGGCAACCTTACAGCCCATGTCCAACAAAACTGAAATTACCATAATATCCTTAACTATTAAAACCTACTACAATGACATGAAGACTCAAAATAATTCCAAATTTTTAAATCTTGATATCCTAAATGTACTTCATATGAAATTTCAGATTTGCTCTTTTTCTTCTTTCCATGATTTTCATCATTCTTCCCTGCATTCGAAAAAACTCGACCTCGAGTTTTATAATGTTGAAGTATAAGGAATATGGATTCTTGCACTTACAACCATTCAAATTGATTGTTTTGAATGAATGATGAGAAAATCAAAAAGTTCAATGTTGTCATCACTCCATTGACCACATCGAATTTATTAGGAATAATAATAAACTCAATTAAGGGTGTGCACGGGTCGGATTCATCCATAAACCGTTATTCATCCGAATATGATCGGTTTGAGTTTATTGGAACCATTTTTGAACCACAAAACAGTCGAAATCGACCGCACAGCATACTCGTTTAATCGGATCAGTTGTGGTCGGATCAGATGGGTTGGGCATGGGCTCAGTTGATGGTTGTGGTCGAGTTTCAACAACAGGAGCAACAATATTTGCATCAACAGGAGGAGCATCACTGAGAGGTGGATCCATTATCTAGTACCTAAAAAATAAGTAAAATGGAATTACACTCACATAAATCCAAAAAATAATGTTAAATGACTTTGAAAAGCCTAAATCAAACATCAACAAATTATTTTGATTTGAAAATCGTAAATCGAAAAATCAAAAAAGAACAATAAAGAAAATATTGAGTACTGGAGTAAAAAACTAAAAATCAATTTTCAGACTGAAATTAAAAACTAATCTAGAATTAAAAACTAAAAATCGAACAGTACTAGAGTAGTATAGAACCACAACATACCTTGTGTTCTTGTTAGTGCGAGATTCGGGATTGTTGAACTCGATTTTAGAGAGAAGAACAGGTCTGGTTCTGTTCTCTCATGTTTTGGAAGTTGTGTTGTGTGACTTCACTTCCGCTGAAAAGGAGAGAGAGAGAAGAAGTCATCTTTTGGTTTTGCAGAGAGAGAAAGAGATGGAAGAGGAACCATTTTTTTGGTTTTGGAGACAGAGAGAGAGGGAGGAGAGAGAGAGAGAGAGGAAATAGTTTTGTTTTTTTGGTTCTGCAGAGTTTTCAACTGTTGGGAAGTTGTGTGACTTTTTATTGTTAATGATAGAGTCAGGTGAGAAAATCTCAGCGTGAGAGATTACATTGGGAATCCAAACATTTGTAATATTTTATGTATATATAGCGGTTTGGATCGGGTTATACGATTTCGATAGGCACAAATTTGATGACCAAACCATAATCCGTAAAATCTATATTATTTAGTCCACAGCTGACCGTAATTGTATGCAAAACCGTCCACGTGGCCTTTGGATCGGGCGGGCCGTTCGGTTGGATAGGGTAGTGCGGTTCCATGCACACCCCTAAATTCAATGGGAACTTCATTTTTCTTGTGAAGAGCAAAATGTTTAGTTGCATTCACCTCATTTTCTTTGACTTTCTTGGCTTTCGAACCTTGATCATGACAATCTTTCATGCTTTCTTTAGTAAGCAAATTAATTTTTGCCTTTGTTTCTTCAATATCCTCAATGTTAGCCTCTTTCATAGTTTTTTCAAAATCTTTTACACTATCAACCTTTTGCTCCTGGATATTAGTCTTCTGTAAAACAACAGCCACAAGTCCTTCCATAGATGCTCTCAATCCATTGAAAGTTATTGATAGTATGCACATCACTCTTTATTGTTACAACATCCTCCTTAATTATTGCGAAATCCTTCTTTAACATCGAAACATCTTTCTTAGGAGCTCTATAATTTGTTAATGAGGCTTCAAACTTTCAATTTAATTCAATACTTTTCAACATTGTAATAAAGAAAGAAATTTCATCGAAAGATTGGTAACGAACAAGGTAGGATCTTGAAGCTCTGATACCAAACTGATGTAGGACGAGTAGGGATTACTTTCCTACAAGTAGTGAGCCCGGGTTAAGTATACTGGCAGCAACAATAGTAGACTTTCACGGCTGGATTTGGTGGGATTTTATGACTGTAGAAGTATTTAAAAAATAGGAGTTTAAGGATTTATAAAAGGGGTAGGATTGTGGGAATGAAAACACAAGTGTTTAGGGTCAGTTGGGTGGTTGTTCTAAGAACTGTGAACAGTGGCTTAAACAGTAACCTTGCTGGATAGAAGTAGAAGAAGAAGAAGAAGAGAGAGAGAGAGAAGTGCCTCACCCTCACAAGGGATGGACCAATCACACAAACACAATCTCAAATTTTCATAATATTAACTCTGCCCGAGTCATTAAGATTACAAATCTATTTATAGGTTAAAGACTCGCCTAATTCTATCAGGACTATAACTCAAATTTAGAAACTAAAAATATTTAACAACTACTAATATTCTAGACCAATTATGACTTCCAATTCTATTTCAATCTTAAGAAGAAACTTTAATGACTTCTAATTCTACTTCAATATCAAAATAACAATAAAACCCATATATAATAACCCATTTAATAACTTGACCCAAAATAAAACCCATGGGCAACCTTACAACCCATGTCTAGCAAAACTGAAATTACCATAATATCTTTAACTACTAAAACCTACTATAATGACATGAAGACTCAAAATAATTCCAAATTTTTAATTCTTGATGCCCTGAATGTGCTTCATATGAAATTCCAGATTTCTTTTTTTCTTCTTTCCATGATCCTCATCATCAATATATATACATGATTTGTTGTTCTTTTGGAGATCCGGGAGGTTTTAATAGGATCCAATCAGATTGAGTCAAACCCAACATGTTTTTAATATTTTCTTCTCATTTTGTTTTCTTAAAAAGAAATCATAATGTATATTTTAAAGATGTTTATGATTAAAGTCACTTGAAATATAAATTATCTATTGCTATTATATTGAAAGAAATATACTTCAATATTACATGGATGAGGTCTATTAAACCTAATGGTTCTACAAGTTCTTTAGTATTGGCTCATTGTTACTTGTAAATGTATATATGCTTATGAAATATCAGCATCGTTGTTACGTTATTGTTACTTGAAAATTGAGAATTTGTCTTTGTTTACTTTCTTTATTAAGAATGATTGAGAAGCAATATTTATAAAAAGAAAAAGATAAGATAGTGATCTTACATAGGAACTATTGTTAATGTCTTACCTACTAGACCATGTAATCATTATTCAAAATAACATTTTCATTTATTTGAGTCTAAATATTTTATATTTATAAGATATATTTAACAATCAAGTGTGTAGATATATTTTTCTAAGTAATTTAGAAAAGGTGACCGAATCTTTATGGTACACAATTCGATTCGATTCGAGATTCGATACAAGGCCATTTCGATTCATGATTCAATTTACGATTTGACGACTATGATGGTGAATACAATAGAGAACATGAAGAATGTTTATATCTTTTCCCCTACTCCAAGTTGCTCAACATCGTCTTAAAAAAAAAGAAAGGCAAGTAGAACATGTGTTGAGGTGATAAGGAAGGGTGATTTCCATGAACTTAACTGATGATATGACTTTAAATAGTGCCAACTAGTGGAAATTGATTCATGTAGCTAACCCCAAGTAATTGGAACAAAGGCTTGTTGAGTTGAGCTGGAGTTGGTATGACTTCTGACATGACCTAACTTTTTTTTTTTTAATCAGCAAAATGAATCTTTGTTGATAAGAATCAAGGATAACCTTACATCATACATCAATAAAGAGGATACAAAGATCAAACGGTAGTGCTATAAGCATAACAGCATAATCAAGTTATCCCAACTAGGTTGGCACAACCGAACATGTCCAATCATTTGCAGAACCAACCGAAAACGAAGGTTGAGGAGAAATCAATCAAGAGATAGAAAACAACTAGTAACAGGGCTGAAACAAATAATAGAAAACAACTAGAAAACTTCAACTGATGCACAACTCACAGAAGGATCACAAACCATGCACCTGCTATCTTCTATGAAAACACCTCTGCCTCTAATGGAATATAGGTTGTGCACCAACTCATTAAGAAGCACCGACATGGACACATGACACAGATACTTTTAGAATAGGAAATTATATTCATATATTTTATTCTAATTGGATGTAATGGGCTGTAATGAGCTGGTCCATAATTTATGCCTTATGGTACTTTTATAATTATGCTTTATTCTTAATATAAAAGGGGATGAGGTTTCTCTCATTCTCTATCTCTATCTCTATCTCTATCTCGTTCTCTTCTTTAAATTTACATAGTATCAGAGCCCAAACCCTAGCCTAACTCTCGTTACCCTTCTGTCATCCCTCTCTAGCACCACTGTTGGCAGTCCTTTCTTCCCTCCAGAAGTCCAGTTGGCCACTGTAGACCCTTCAATGGCCACTGTGGACCCTCACCCAGCCCAAACTGAACCTCTAACAGCCTTACCCAGGCCTTCGGCCGTGCGCCTGGGCTCCCCGACAACCTATTCGGCTTAGTCGGCAGCCCCTCTGGTCTTTTAGGGGCCTATTGGCAGCTCCTCTGGCTCTCTTGGCCCCTGTTGGCTTTTCTCTTCCCTTCTAGGCCTCTGTCAACCAACCTCCAGATAGGTTTCTTCTGTCTCCTGTAATGTTTTCACCCTGGACATCGTGGTAGTTGTGTCTTTCCTAACACTATTATCTTCCGGGTTTGTAATTGGCATTGTGTTTGAGAGTTACATAGTAGAGTATCTATGGCAGATTCCCTTAGTAAGTCCACTACTTCTCAACCATCTAAGAGAGAATCTATGGCAGATTCCTTCCACTATGTCTGATACCCTTAACCTGAGACTTAAGATCACCACCTCTCTATTCAATGATCAGAATTATCTAGCCTAGTCGCAAAGTCTGACTATTTTTTTGAAGAGCAAAGGGAAGATGTGATATGTTGATGGAAGGATACATACATTCAGTATCACGGATCCTAGTTATGACTAATTGGAAATCACCAACTCCCTAATTATGGGTTGGTTGATGCATTCTATGGTACCTGAGATTGGCGAGGGCGGCTTGTCTATAGACACTGCCCAGGATATTTGAGAGGCTATAGCTACTACTTACTCCAGGAAGGGAAACTCCTTACAGGCTTTCGAGTTACATCGCTCCATTGAAAGGTCGGTCCAAGGTGAGCAGACTATCCTCCAGTATTTTACATTCCTTAGAAATGGGTGGAAGCAGCTTGATCACCTTCAGGATTACAAACCGGTCTGTCCCACTGATTCTGTTGGTTAGCAGAAATTTGTGGCGCAAGAGCATGTCTTCAAGTTCTTGGAAGGCCTTAATGTGGAGTATGATCCGGCTCGAAGCAGAGTACTTGGCTTGGATGTGCTTCCTTCTCTCCAGGAAGCCTTTGCTTTTGTGTAGAATGAGGAGAGTCACCGCTCTGCAATGCTTCCTTCTGCTACTACTGATTGCTCGGCCTTGGTTTTTGCACCCCCTCGTGATGGAGACCGTGTGCCTTGTGGTTCTCGTCCTTCTTCTGAGAAGGATAATATTTTCTGTGACTACTGCCATAGAGCCCAACACACACGAGAGACGTGGCAGAAGCTACATGGGACTCCTTCTGGTGGCCGAGGATACCGTCCTAGTCCTCCAGGGGGTAGGTCTGGTCAGACTAGAGGTCGAGGGGTTAATGCTTGGGTACATCTTGCAAACACAGTTGAGCAACCATCTTCATCTCCCATTGTCTTCTTTGCTACTGATGTTTTGGGGTTATTTTCCTCGGATTTTGAGATTGCTCTTTGCCACTTGCTAGACCGTCGAGCCTCCATTTCTGCTACAGGTGCACCCTCTTCTTTTTTTGCCAATTCAGGTAGCTTGGCTTCCTCCACATGTGCATTGCTATCTCATATGACTGTACCATGGATTATTGATTTTGGTGCTTCCAACCATATGTCTGGCTGCTCTAATTTATTCTCAGAGTATAAACCCTCCTCAGGTTAGGAAAACGTGCGTGTTGCTGATGGTACTATTTCCTCTGTGTCAGGGAAAGGTTTAATTCATGCCACCTCTTCCCTTCCTTTGTCCTCTGTTCTCTATGTTTCCAATTTGAGTGTTAATATTTTATCTTTGAGTCGTATTACTCGTGATTTAAATTGTAGCATGACGTTTTTTCCTGATCATTATCTTTTTCAGAACCTTATCACAAGGAAGAGGATTGGCAGTGGTAGAGAGGAACATGGTCTCTACATTCTGGATCAGACAGACAAGCTGACTCATTCTTCTATTCAGTTACCATCCACCAAGGAAGACTTTGGCTGTGGCACCATCGCTTATGACATCCTTCTTTTTTGTTACTTAAGCATTTATTTCCTTTTGTTTTTGAGAAAAATAATGTGTCAAATTTTCAACGTGATTCTTGTCAATTTGGAAAACATCACATAGCCTCTTTTGCTCCTTCTATTAATAAAAGTTCAGTTCCATTTTCTTTGATTCATTCTGATGTATGGAGTCCATCTCGTTTTGTTTGTGTCTTTAAACGGTTAAAAATGGTTTGCTACTTTCATAGATGACTGTTCTCGAGCAACTTGGGTATATCTAATGAAAGATAAAAGTGAGGTGTTTTCTGTGTTTTAAAACTTCCATAAAATGGTTTGTACTCAGTTTGGGGCGGTTGTCAAAATTCTACGTTCTGATAATTTGTCTTCTTTGCTGCTGATGTTTTGGGGTTATTTTCCTCGGATTTTGAGATTGCTCTTTGCCACTTGCTAGACCGTCGAGCCTCCACTTCTGCTACAGGTGCACCCTCTTCTTCCTTTGCCAATTCAGGTAACTTGGCTTCCTCCACATGTGCATTGCTATCTCATATGACTGTACCATGGATTATTGATTCTGGTGCTTCCAACCATATGTCTGGCTGCTCTAATTTATTCTCAAAGTATAAACCCTCCTCAGGTTAGCAAAACGTGCGTGTTGCTGATGGTACTATTTTCTCTGTGTCAGGGAAAGGTTTAATTCATGCCACCTCTTCCTTTCCTTTGTCCTTTGTTCTCTATGTTTCCAATTTTAGTGTTAATATTTAATCTTTGAGTCGTATTACTCATGATTTAAATTATAGCATGACGTTTTTTCCTGATCATTGTCTTTTTCAGAACCTTATCACAAGGAAGAGGATTGGCAGTGGTAGAGAGGAACATGGTCTCTACATTCTGGATCAGACAGACAAGCTGGCTCATTCTTCTATTCAGTTACCATCCACCAAGGAAGACTTTGGCCGTGGCACCATCGCTTATGACATCCTTCTTTTTTGTTACTTAAGCATTTATTTCTTTCTGTTTTTGAGAAAAATAATGTGTCAAATTTTCAACGTGATTCTTGTCAATTTGGAAAACATCACATAGCCTCTTTTGCTCCTTCTATTAATAAAAGTTCAGTTCTATTTTCTTTGATTCATGCTGATGTATGGAGTCCATCTCGTTTTGTTTGTGTCTTTAAACGGTTAAAGATGGTTTCTCGAGCAACTTGGGTGTATCTGATGAAAGATAAAAGTGAGGTGTTTTCTGTGTTTTAAAACTTCCATAAAATGGTTTGTACTCAGTTTGGGGCGGTTGTCAATTCTTTTGGGGCGGTTGTAAAAATCCTGTGTTCTGATAATGGGAGGGAATATATTGATTCTGGTCTTGCTAGTTATTTCGCCACTCATGGCATTATTGACCAAACTTCATGCACTAATACCTCTCAACAAAATGGTGTTACAGAACGAAAAATCACCATCTCCTTCATGTGGCCTGTTGTCTATCTTTTAAGATGCAGGTTCCTCGATCCTATTGGGAGGTAGTGGTTCTCATTGCTGCTTATGTGATTAATCGTCTTCCTATCTAAGTCCTTCCCAAACAAACACCTCTTTAAGTTTTGTCTGGGTCTACCTCTTCTGGGTTCTCTATTTCTCCTAAGACCTTTGGTTGTGTTTGCTTTGTCCATAATCATAACCCCACTCGTGGTAAATTGGATCCTAGATCTCTTAAGTATGTTTTTTTGGGTTATTATGCAACCAAACCAAAAAAGGTTATAAATGTTATCATCCTCCCACTCGGAAATGGTTTGCCTCAATGGATGTCACCTTCTTTGAGTCTCAGTCTTACTTTCTCACCTTCCCAGTGTCACAGTCATCCCTTCAGGGTGAGCCTTGGTGTGAAGAGATTGTTCCACTACCGCCAATGGTTAAACAGATTGAGAGTGATGAACCAGCAGTTGTTGTGGAAAAGGAAGCAGGCAAAGTTTATGTTAGGGACAAGGATCGACAAAAAGTCACCTGGATGCAAGAGACTACTTTCTTTCCTCTACTGCCAACTTCTCTGGATGAGTGTCCTCTCCTGAAAACCTAGGTACTTCTGATCCTACTGCTCTTATTCTTGAATTTTCAGATCTTGACGATCCCATTGTTAATAGGAAGGGGGTTAGGTCATGTACTCAGCATCCTATTACTAATCATGTTTCTTATTCTAATCTATCTTTCCCATATAAAGCCTTTTTGTCTAAAATTTCTTCTGTGAGTCTGCCTACCAATTTTCAGGATGCTTTCTCTATTCTTGTATGGAAACATGCCATGATAGAGGAGATGAGAGCTCTCAACAATAATGGCACGTGGGAGTTAGTGTAGTTATCTAGAGGCAAAAATCCCGTTGGGTGTGAGTGGGTGTACACTGTAAAACACAAAGCAGATGGTTCCATAGAGCGGTACAAAGCAAGGCTAGTTGCTAAGGGCTTCACTTAGACTTATGGGGTAGATTATAAGGAGACATTTGCACCGGTTGCTAAGATGAACTTTGTGAGAATACTACTCTCTCTTGCTGCAAATTTGGATTGACCACTTTATCAGTTTGATGTGAACAATGCCTTCCTTCATAGAGACCTAGTAGAAGAGGTCTATATAGATATTCCCCTTGGTTTTGCGGATGATAAATCCAAAGGTAAAGCATGCAGGCTTCGGAAGTCACTTTATGGGCTAAAGCAATCTCCTAGGGCTTGGATTGAAAGGTTTGCACAAGCTATGCTAAAGTTAAGCTGATCACACCTTTTTTGTGAAACACTCCTCACATGGTAAGACCATAGCTCTTACTGTTTATGTTGATGATATTGTTCTGACAGGGGATGACGTTGAGGAAATCCCTCAGTTGAAGGAATACTTAGCCAAGGAGTTTGAAATCAAAGACTTAGGTAATTTGAAATATTTTTGGGCATTAAAGTAGTTAGGTCCAAGGATGGCATCTTCATATGTCAGAGAAAGTATGTACTTGACTTGTTAAAGGAAATTGGAATGCTTGGAGGTAGACCATGTGATACACCTCTAGAATTGGGCTAAAAACTAAGTGAGTATCAAGAGGGGGAGCCAGTGGATAAGGGAAGATACCAGAGACTGGTGGGCAACCTCATATACTTATCTCACTCACGTCCAAACATTGCCATTGCAGTTAGCATGGTTAACCAGTTTATGCATGCTCCTCGAACTTCCCACTTAGAGGCAGTTATGAGAATCCTGAGATACCTGAAGTCTTCTACTGGAAAGGGTCTCTATTTCTCAAAACATGAACATCTCGGTGTGGAGGCATTTACTAATGCAGATTGGGCTGGATCAGTCACTGACAGACGATCAACTTCTAGATATTGCACATTTGTTAGAGGCAACCTAGTCATATGGCGAAGTAAGAAACAGAATATGGTTGCTAGATCTAGTACTGAAGCAGAATTCAGGGCTATGGCTCGGGGTGTATGTGAGTTGCTACGAATTAGACTATTGTTGGCAGACTTGGCGATCCATCAGACCGATCCCATGAGATTGTACTGTGACAACAAGACGGCGATCAGCATAGCTTATAATCCCGTTCAACATGACAGAACCAAGCATGTTGAGATTGATAGGCACTTCATCAAGGAAAAACTCATTAGTGGCACCATATGTACTCCATTTATGAAGACTGGAGACCAATTAGCAGATGTTCTCACCAAAGGGATAGAGAGTAAACCATTTCATAACATTTTCAACAAGCTGAGCATGAGAAATATCTTCGCACCAGCTTGAGGGGGAGTGTTAAAATAGAAAATTATATTCATATATTTTATTCTAATTGGATGTAATGGGCTGTAATGAGCTGATCCATAATTCATGCCTTATGACATTCCTGTAATTATGCTTTATTCTTAATATAAAAGGGGATGAGGTTTCTCTCATTCTCTATCTCTTTATCTTCTCTAAATTTACAGATACGACACGGACACACAGACATGCCAATTTTCAAGAAAATTAGGACATGACACATGTAAGGCATGCACGAAATATATATTTATTATATGTCATATATAAATATATCATTCAAAAATAATAAAAAAATGTAATATAACACTTATTTTATAAATTTACATTGTTTTTTTTCTTTTATTATTGTATTCTAAGTTATTTAGTTCAAACTTATAATTAGTTTCATGTGTGTCTAATCCATGGAAACCTGTGTCCTCTGAGGGTCCGGATCTAAAAAACAATTTAAAAAATAGAACACGTTTTGACGAGTGTCGGACACATGTCGAGAAGTGTCCAACGAGTGTCATTGTCTAACACAAACACGACATGGACATGCCACCTTTTTAGAAGTGTCCGTGCTTCTTAGCTTGATATTGTACGAAGACTAAATTTATATTATTTTTCGTTGTCTTCTGTTTTTCATTTTTTGGGTGAGTTAAGTTTCTAGGATTTTGTGAGAGAAGTTTGAAAAATGAACTCACTTATTTTCTTTGTTGATGTCAGCTACCTAAAATTTTAAGGTAAAATTGATGTAGGCATCAATCTTTCAATTTTGTGCTTGCAATTTTACAAAGAGCTTCAGCTAAAATGAGAAGGTTCAAAGCACTACAATTATGTTTCTGCTAACATTTTACTTGCAGAGTGATGGAAAACACAGAACTTCAAGGTCAAATTCCAGTTGCCTTCTTCAGCCTTCCACAGTTAATGAGAGTGTGAGTATCAGTTTAATCTTATATATTGCATTTCATATAATCATCTAGAAGCAAAAGTAATAAAATGATGTAACCTCCCTGGGTTCTAACATTATTGATTCTGAGTTGTATATCTTACATCATGCCCACTGTAATCAAATCAATTTTCTTTGGCATGTCATGTCAGTGTATTGAGGAACAACCACCTTAATGGCACTTTGGATATCAGGTCCAGCTATAGCAACCAACTGCAGCATATAGATTTGCAGAACAATTCCATTGACTTTGTGCGGGGAATGCGATTTAAGTCTGAGTTAATGTAAGTAGTAAGACAGTTTTGGCCATTCCCTCAGTAAGATGGTGTCAAAGAACTAAATTAGTTCCTTTTCTGGAAGTTATATACCTGTGTGTTTGGATCATGGATTTGGATAAGGATTTGGAAAGGGAAAGGAAAAGGCAAGGGAAATGAAGAAAAAATTTAGCTTATATTTCATTCATTGCTGTAATCCTACGTCAAATTTATGATCCAAACACAGCTGTAATCTATTTGCTGTTCTTTGCTCTTTTCATTTTATAACCTCACTTTTCTATTATTTTTTGTAGACTTGTAGGAAATCCAGTTTGTGAGAGAAAACAAGGGATAGAACCATACTGCAGCATTCAACCGTCTAATTCCTCATATTCAACACAACCAAATAATTGTGTGCCCGTTACCTGCAAATCAGATCAAATATGCAGCCCCAACTGTAGATGTGCTCTTCCATTTATGGGTTCCCTAATCTTGGCAGCTCCTGCCTTTGACCTAGAAAACTCAATTATCTACATGCACTACAGGAAAAATAGGTTTAGGCGGCGTTTTTTTAACGGCGTTTTTTCAAACGCCACTTTAATTAATATTTAACGACGTTTTATAAACACGTCACATATTCCTTTAATAAAACGACACCGTTTTGGCATAGGAGGCGTTTAAAAACGCCTCCAAATACGTTGCGCCTCACGCGCCTATTTTGAATCTGTGAATACTTGTTAAAGCTTTGTAAACCATTATTTTGAATCACACGCCTTCACATTCCTCACACCTCTCATTTGCTCACCCCCAATTGCTTCTAAACCCTTGAGAGCAATTTCGATTCAGAGCAATTTTGTTTGAGATTCATCTTTGAGATTCATACAGATTCATCAGAGCGATTTTGATTTGAAACTCTGAAGCTCCACTCTCCTTTCTCTCTCTCTCTCTATTGTGTGCCTGTTGCCTGCAAATCAGATCAAATATGCAGCCCCAACTGTAGATGTGCCCTTCCATTTACGGGTTCCCTAATCTTGGCAGCTCCTGCCTTTGACCTAGAAAACTCAATTATCTACATGTCTCTCGAGAATTATCTGATGAGTTCTTTTCATTCCCATCAACTCCCTGTGGATTCAGTTTCTCTGAGTAAAATTTCATATAATCCCCCTGTGCTAAGATTAAAAATGTTTCCACATGGTGTAGACTGTTTCAATCGAACAGGAATTTCTGAAATTGGGTTTGTGCTGCACAACCTAACTTCCTATCCTGGGAAGACTTTTGGACCCTTAGTTTTCATTGCTGATCAATATGTGTATTTTGCAGGTATAAAGTATATACATGTGAGAGAGAAAGAGAGCGAAAAAAGAAACATACTTACATCAATGTCTTTTTTTTTACTGATAAAAAAGTATATCTATGTGATTTCTCATTCTAATCTCTCTCTCTCTCTCTCTCTCTCATGCAAAAGGATCTACAGACACTAACAAGTCATTGAGTAGGGTCATTATTGGAGCAGCAGTTGGTTGTTCTTTGCTTGTGATATTGTCCCTCCTTGCTGGAATTTATGCTTTTCATCAAAAGAGAAGAGCTGAAATTTCTGATAAACAGAACAATCCTTTTGGTAAAATTAGGAGTTAATCTTGACAATTTATTTCCTGCTTTTCATCAGAACAATCCTTTTGATGTCATACCCATGCAGCTTCTTGGGACTCAAATAAAAGCAATGGTGGCGTTCCTCAGTTAAAAGGAGCTAGGTGTTTCTCATTTGAAGAGCTTAAGAAATACACAAACACTTTCTCGGAAGCCAACTGTATTGGATCTGGTGGCTATGGAAAGGTTAACTTTTATTTTCTTTTTCCTTGTCTTGGTACAACATACCTCATATATTACTGGTCTCCATAGTTACAGACCGAGTTTTGTACATTTCACCTTACCCAACTCCATCCCCAATGGAGATATGCCTTTAGCACTGTAGCTTATAAGGGAAAGACATTTGTACATTGATGTAGATTATCTACAAGTATATTTCTACAGCACTGTGATAGAAGTCTCTGAATGTTTTTTTCGAGTAGAATTGTATGCAGTTTCTTATTTATTTATTTATTTATAATGAAAAGTCGGTGACTTATCTTTGAAAATGTATGAACTATCGAGGCATATCATTGATAAATCTATTAATTACTAAACTTTTGTGTACTTGCAGACTTGTTCTGAAAATTCTATAAAACAACCATATATTTTTTCTTTCCAATACATGTTGCTTTGGTTTGTAGGGCAAAATTCACCGTACCCTTTTTTCTCCTCACAGTACTTCACCCCTTAAGATTCAAATATAGGCAAAGAGCCCTATTATGGTTTTGAACTAAAGTGCCACTGTTAATTTTCCATTAAGAATAACGGAGGTGCATTGCCCAAATTGAGAGTGGGCAGTGGAAATATCACAAGTCAAATTCAGAAATTGAATCAAATGACCAACTTCCCTCATCTTTATCTTCTTCCCCAAATTAAACCCTAACCTTAATTGTTACAAGGGTTATCATTAATAGCAGTTGTGAAAAAAAGTAACCAAAAGGCGCTACAATGAGAGTGTATCGGGAGCTATCCTCAGAACTGAGGATTGAACAGAAGATTATTATTACACAGCTTGACGAAAAATCTAGAGGGAGTATAGTGGAGATTATAGAGAGGAGTAAGCTGGGCTGTCCAAGCACTTCAGCAGTTGGGGTCGCACTACAAAGGAGGATCTTTCTTTAGTAAGCATCATAGCAACTCTGCTATTTTCTGTTTATAGAAGTATAAGAATGATAGGGGTGTTTTTGTTGAGATGTCGAAGTGGGAGGGAGGTGTCAAAAAAGGCAATATTATTCTTCCGCGCGGGGTATAATCGTCGTGGGTGGCTAGACATAGCTACAATGCTTCGTAAAGTCATTTGCAATGATGCCGGGGCAAATTTCAGAGGCATGGAAGTCAGGGCTAACTTCATAGGAGTACAGAGCAAGGACACAAAGGAGATGTTTATGGATAGGAAAACAGGGGCGAACAGGGGTAGGAAGTTTGTCGACTTGTTCACTGTGAATCGGTTGAGTAGTTCAAAGATAGATTTGGAGAGGGTTGTAGTATGCGCAAGATGTGACTTTTCAAGCAGCTGGGATCAAATTGAAAAGGAGTTGAGTAATTATTTAAAGATGTCCATTGCTCTACGGCCATTTCAACTCAATTGCGCTTTGTTCTGGGCTAGTAATAGCAAGGAGGCGAGTCTTCTAGGAGCAAAGGGTTTGAGATTCTTTGACAAAGGTGTGGCAATTAGATTGGAGACGTGGTCTGAGGAGAAGCATGTTAAACCAGAGGTTATTGTCTCTTATGGAGGATGGATTGCAGTGTGCGATCTGCCTTTTACCCTTTGGAATGATCAGGTATTCCAATACATAGGAGAGAGATGTGGTGGTTTGTTAGAAGTTGATCGAAGAACCATATCTTTGGATAATCTCTTTGAGGCTAGGTTGAAAGTTAGAGGCTTCGATTGTGGTTTTCTACCCGCGTTCATGGAGGTTGAGGTGGGAGGATGATCATCAATGGTGCGTTTGAAATCTTTGTCCAAGACAGTGTGCCGCCAAGTGAAAGTGTGGCCAAAGGTTTTCCGACTAGCATCTTCAAGCGAACCTATCGCCGCCTACAGGGAAGCCGAAGGGGCGGGAAGGTCAGGGAGGACACATGGAAGCATGGAAAGGGGAAGTCGAAGGGGTGAAAAAGTTGAAGGGTTTGGGGACAGCTTCGGTGCTGTTGTGGAGGTGGGGGGAAGACCAAGGGATGGGGGGATTAGAGTGATACCGAATGGGCCACCGGTGGGGCATGATGGGCCAAGTAGTATTTTGGGCCCAATTGGCTCACTAAATGTGGGCCAGGAGATTATTTATCAAAAATCCAGCTCCTTTTCTCCAATGGATGGGCCATCTTCTAAGCAATATAAGGAGTATAATGACGAGCCTCAAAGTAGTGATGTTCAATCCCAATGAATTGGGCCTAGTGGGTTATATGAACGAGGTTCGTATCTTGGAGGAGGGAATCTGAGCTGAATTTCAACCCGACTTGCTCGACGACGAAAGGCGACCACTTGGAGAGAGAGAGAGGATCAGCGACGGTAGTCGTCTGGGATACAAGGGGGTGTCGACGGTGAAGGCGATGTGTATTTACAGAGGGATAGTCAGAATCGACTAACGAAGGATGAGATTCAGCTTGGTTTAGCTGATAGGGTGGACGACTCCGTTGAAGGGGAGCAGAGATTAGCGGCGGAAGTGGATGAGTGGGTCGGTGAAAGGATCGAAGAGGAGAATGATGCTGAATTGTTGAGTTGCAAGGTGGATGAAGGGTGTTTCGAGCCTACCAAAGTGTTGCAAGCTCTGAAAATTTATGGGTCCAGGTCTGATAAGAGTTTAGAGTACGACTCTGGTTCAAGTTGCGAAGGAGATGATGAAGAAGAGTTTGATCTTGAGCTTATTAATCTTTTTACTGGGAAGGGCACTATTGAGAAGGAGGAAACTGAGGGGGTTTCTGAAACAATGGATCATGTCAGTGACTCTGTTAATCATGGTTCTACAGATCCGTCATCAAAGAGGGCTCACATTGTTATTCCAGGCTCTTCTTCTCTTGGGGATGGGATAGGGGGTTCTCAGTGTCTTGGTCTTGAGTGTTCTGTTAGGGGAATGGCTGATAAAGGAGTCATTCCAGATATCTCAAGAGCCATGAGGGATGTTTCTACCATTAATCTTGTGTCCTATAATGCAAATATAAATGTAGGCCATGTAAATGATGCTCAAGAGGGAGTTTCTGTTAAGCATTTGCACAGCAGCGGTTGCGTTTTTAGTGGTTTGAGGGATAGTGAGGCAGAGACAGAGCGCTGGTTGATGGAGTTAAGCAAGTATGCGTCATGTCCAATTGAGGAAAATGAAGTATCTCATTTCAAGCATTTGCTTCAAGTTATGGGGCCGTCCCTAGTAAGTTTAAATGGGAGGGATGATGTTAGTGGAAAGGATAATAGTGTCACTAAGGGGGAGAGTACTAGACGAGGAGGGGCTATGGTTAGAAAGGGGGCCAGGGAGTTAAGGAATTTGGTGACTGCAATTAATTACGATAGAAGGCATGTGGAGGTTAGGGGTGACAATGATTCTTAATGAAGATTGTTAGTTGGAACGTAAGGGGTTTGGGATCCTCGAAGAAGAGGGGGGTCATTAGGGATTTTTTGAGGAAATATCAACCTGACATTGTCATTTTTCAAGAAACTAAAGTGGAAGTTTGTGATAGGACGTTTATTAAAAGTATTTGGGGAGTTAGCCATGAAAGGTGGGCTTTTGTACCATCAGTGGGAAGGTCAGGAGGTATTTTAATTATTTGGGATGAGAGGGTTGTGTCAGAGTGTGAATCATTAGTTGGCAAGTTTTCACTATCAATTAGGTTCAGGAATCTAGATCTCAGTGAGTGGTGGTTGTCAGGGGCATATGGTCCAAATTGTCCTTTCAGGAGAAAGGATTGGTGGGATGAGTTATATGGTTTATTTGGGTTATGTTCTCCCAATTGGTGTTTAGGGGGGGATTTCAATGTGGTTAGGAAGGTTTCGGAAAAGCTTAATGGGAACATAATCAATAGGAGTACAAGAGATTTTGATGGGTTTATTAGAGGGTGCAAGTTGGTTGACCCTCTATTTAATGCTAGATTCACATGGTCTAATTTACGGGAAAGTCAGGTATCTGATCATTGTCAGACAGGAGGCGTTACCAAGATTGGTAGGAGGGGGTTTTTTGGGTAGGAGGGGGTTTTCCCCAATGTCAGACAGGAGGCGTTACCAAGATTGGTATCTGATCATTGTCCCTTGATGTTTGAGAGTTGTCCTTTTAGGTGGGGTCCGGCTCCATTTAGATTTGAGAATATGTGGTTGGAACATCATTCATTCAAAGAGACCTTTGAGGAGTGGTGGAATACTGCTAGATGTCAAGGGTGTGAGGGTTATAGGTTCATGAGAAAGCTGAAGGTGATTAAAGAGAATGTGAAGCAGTGGAATAGGGAGGTTTTGGGGAACTTGGAATCAACTAAATGTCAAGTTTTGCGAAGGATTGAGGAGATAGATACTTTGGAGATGCAAGGGAGTGAGGTTGAGGCATTGAGGGGAAAGAGGAGGGAGTTAGGTTTGAAATTGGAAGAGTTTACTCTTAGGGAGCAGATTTTTTGGGCACAAAAAGCAAAGGTGAAGTGGCTAAAGGAGGGCGATGTTAATTCAAAAAAATTTCATAGGATTGCGGATGGGAAAAGGAAGAAGTTCATTAAGCGATTGGAAGTAAGGCCAGGTGTAGTGGTGGATAGAGAGGAGCAAATAGTCCAGGGAATTTTTTATTTTTATTCAAATTTGTTTTCGACGGATGATATTGTCAAGCCTGGGATAGATAGGCTTGAGTGGCAGCCTATTGATCAGGAAAGTACGACGTGGTTAGAGAGACCTTTTGAGGAAAAGGAGATTAGGGAAGCAGTTTTTGAGTATGAAAGGGACAAGGCTCCAGGTCCAGACGGGTTTTCCATGGTTGTCTTTCAAGATTGCTGGGAGGTGGTGAAAGGGGATTTGGTAAGAGTTTTCATGGAATTTTACAAGACAGGGGTGGTTAATTGATGTACAAATGCCACATTTATCTGTTTGATTCCTAAGAGAGATGGAGCCATTAGAATTAGAGATTTTAGACCCATTAGTTTGATTACATCACTCTACAAGATTTTGGGTAAGGCATTGTCAAAAAGGTTGAGATCTTCTTTAAGGGATACAATCTCTCAAACACAAGGGGCTTTTGTGCAAGGTA